TGCAGCAGTTTATTGAACTTAATTTCTTCTATGTGTCTCTCCTTAATTCATATAATTTTCCTATTAAACCTCAAGCTCATCCTGTCTGCTCAGTGTTTCCTTCATCCTAATGTCATCAAAGTCTTACCTAGTCTGGGGCACATGATAGGTGCTCAATAAATGCTTTTAAAATTAATGAGTCAACTAAGCTGATAAATGAACATTATGACTTATAGACATTGCCTTGGAGACTGGGTGAGTGAGAGGAATCTTGACAAAAGCAGGCTAAGAAACTATTTTGATCATATTTTTGACTTGGTCTCAGGAATGCCAGATAGAGATTTGTTTTCTGATCTGGGCAATGAAAGTGATCTGTGATCTGTGAGAAAGTCACTTTGCCTCTCTCTGCCTCACATTGACCTTCAGTTGTGAAATGCAGGGACAGTCTAGAGTGATGCAGTGTGGAACAATGTTAAGAGCTTTGAGTAGTCACACCTGGGTTGGAATCCTGCCTCTTCCTCCTTTGTTACCCGGGGCAAGTCCTTTATTTGTATTGTTTCCTCCCTATAAATGGGGAAGCATAACACATACTTCATTAGGTATCATAATGAGTAAATATAGTAATGTTTGTGAAGTACCTGGCACACAGTAGGCATTCAATTCATTTGGTTCCTTTTCTTTCTCCTAAAACAGTGTCTCTCCTGTCTAATATGAGAGGCTATTTATAAAGACACTTACAAAATGTAAAATGCTCTTCTGTAAATGAACAGCTTCTCTTTGAACCGACTTGCTTATTTTTGTGTTTCAATGAACATGTGTAGATTGACCAAATGGAGCAGAGTGAGCAGGCTCGTAAATAAAACTGTCTCTAAATCATAGGAAAAGGAGACCCAGTAAGTCTCATGGGCAAAGTATGCATATGGAGCTTCTTTTGAAACTATCACAGTTTTTAAGGGAATTGGGGATTAAAATCACGGTTGTGTTTTTTTAAAGAAATGACCTCTCTCTCTCTCTCTCTCTTTTTTTTTTGAGTAGGAGTCTCACTCTGTTGCTCATTCTGGAGTGCAGTGGCATGCTGACGGCCACTGCAGCCTCGACCCGCTGGGCTCAGGCAATCCTTCCACCTCACCCTTCCAAGTAGCTGGAACTACAGACACGTGCTACCATGCCTGGCTAATTTTTTGATTTATTGTAGAGACGAGGTCTTGCCAAGTTGCCCAGACTAGTCTCAAATCCCTGGACTCAGGCAATTCTCTGACTTGGCCTCCCAAAGTGCTGGGATTCCCGGCTTGAGGCACCACGCCCAGTCAGGAATGACCTCTTTTATGGAAAGAGGTTTCATGATATCCATGGACAAACCCTAAACTGGAACAAAATCTGTTCCTTTTATGTAACTCATTTAAAAAAATCAAATACAAACTGACTTCTCTTTCATTGTGCTGACCTCATCTATGTGACTTCTTCTTATGAAGACATCCCTCATTTCCCAACAATTACCATCTATTTTTTTGTTTCCTGTTGTCAAAATTTTCAACCAGATACATGTTTCATGATCATCATATTCATATATAATCCATAATATCTCGCTCACACTATGAGAGTTGCATATCCTTACCTAAATCCTTCAGTGTCCAACCTTGAATTTAAACCATCTGAGACTGGGTAGCTGGGCCTCAGAATATGTGATGGTGGGAAAATATGTGATGATATTGTGCATGAAGAGGAAATTCTTCTGAAGATTCATTATATGGGACTTCAGTGTCTTCTCTTCAGCATCATGTTGGAAAGGGCAGACTCAGAGAATCGCATCGTTATGACTCTTCTTCCTTTCCCACAGTGTCCCTGCTATGTGCCCTAGTCTCTCAGGCCCAAGCCTAATATGAAAATTAGCAAAGGGAATTTGATTGGATGTGAGTGTGGAAATAGAACGGACATTTTCCTGGTAGTGTTTGAGTTCCAGGAGGAGTTATTTAACAGTTTCCAAGTTATTATTGCAAGCAAGTACACACACACACACACACACACACACACACACACACACACACACACACACACACACTCTTACATTTCTCTACTTTCCAAATCCTTGCAAGGCCCTGTAACACAAATTTCTATCTATTCAGCATTTCTCTGAGTTTGAGGGGAACATTGGTTTATGGAAACATCTAATACTATAAGATCATTCATTATTAGCAGGGACGACATGCCCAAAGGGGCAATAATTGGTCCTTGGAATAGCAAAAAACTGATATTACAATGATGTATGGCCCTTCAAAGGACCTCAGTACATAAAAAGATATGCAGTATATTTTTGATATTAGATTTGCTTGTTGGGGAGCAATTAGGAAAAAAATCTAAAAAGGATTTTGGGGGGCAATAGTTTGAAAAAGGTTGAAAAGCACTATCATATAATTAGAAGCCTTGGCTCAATGTCTCTGTCTTGTAGGATCCTCAGAAAGGACCACAGATGTGTCACCTACTAAGACCTTCTTGGCCAAATATTAATGCAGTATAATAATTTGCTACCTTGCAAAATTTTTCCAATGTGTTGTAATTTCTTGATCTTCCTTACTTCTCTTGGCCAATATTTGAATGACTATTGGAGGCTGAAGGTTGGATTTGAGGTAGAGAAGGGAGGAGATTTATTGTATCTCTACATATCTACTCTCTTCTTTGGAGAGAGGCAGATTTTATCACAGACTCATGGGCCATTCCTAAATGTGTTTCTTTTCTCTCCTGGAATAAAACATGGACTTTGAGGGCTTGAAAGGCATTTCTTAGGTTGTTTTATTATTTATTTATTTATTTATTTTTTGAGTTGGAGTCTCACTCTGCTGCCCAGACTGGAGTGCAGTGGCTGCTCCTGGCCACCGCAGCCTCGACCTGCTGGGCTCCGGCGATCCTTCCGCCTCAGCCTTACGAGTAGCCGGAATTATAGGCATGCGCTACCACGCCACACTGATTTTTTGATTTATTGTAGAGACGAGGTCTCGCTGCCCAGGCGGGTCTCGAACCCGCGGGCTCAGGCAATCCACTCACCTCAGCCTCCCAAAGGCGCGAGATTACAGGCTGAGCCACCGAGCCCGGCTTGTTTTATTTTTTTAACTACAGTGACTTGTCTTGAATTGTCTATACATTCATAGCCAAAATCTATAGTTTTGCTCAAGTTATAAAGACTCTGAGGGTAAAATCAAAAGAATAGATGAAAATAGGAAGTTCAGGTTAACATTAAAAATTGTCATTGTAGGTTTTTTGCAGATATGTCCCCAAACTGAGGCAGGGTAGTCAATGTAGGTTAGAATTAGATGATACATTTCTTTTATTCTTTTTTTTTTGAATTGGAGTCTCACTCTGTCACCCAGACTGGAGTGCAGTGGCCGCTCCCCGCCACCGCAGCCTCGACCTGCTGGGGTCCAGCGATCCTTCTGCTTCAGCCTTCCAAGTAGCTGGAACTACAGCGCGCGCTACCACGCCCGGTTCATTTTTATTTATTGTAGAGATGAGGTCTCGCTAAGTTGCCCAGGCGGGTCTCGAACCCGCGAGCTCAGGCAATCCACTCACTTCAGCCTCCCAAAGGCACGGGATCACAGGCTGAGTCACCGAGTCCGGCTTCTTTTATTCTTAAAAAAAATTTTTTAAAAAAATTTAAAGTTGTGGGGTACAATTCAGGGTTAGGTATACAAATGTTCATTATGCAGGTACTCTTGTTGATGAGATATGCCCCCGCTTTCCCCAGGCAGATACCCACTACTGTCAATCCCGCTTCCCTGCCCCCCTCCCGGCAGTTTCCTGCTACTGCCAAAGATAGATACATTTCTTATAAGCAGCTTTAGAATAGAAGAAACTTTTAGGCATTTTTTCTTATCGCATCAGATGGACCACCCTGCTGGCTGGAATGTGGACTCACCAGGCTAACTCCTTACTCATCTGAGGTGGTGAGATGGTAATCTCTCTAGAGCAGATATCTGTAGCCCACCTTCTCTAGTGTGATAACTTTATCAAGCTTCTTGTTAAAAGCAAAATCTCGGGTTTTCTCCCACCTGTGCCTCCTGGTATGTCTCGCTTTCTCTCTCCCTTTCTCCTTCTCTAATAATTCTGTTTTTAAACTGCTGACTGTACTAATTTACACTCCCATCAACAGGGTATAAGCATTCCTTTTTCTCCGCTTCCTTTCCAGCAACTCCACATTTTTAAAATAAAATAAAATAACACTGCTGGCTTCTCTGAAATTCCTTTCAGTAGTGAATCAAAGAGCCCATGAGTGTTGCACCACACCTCACCCAGCAACAAAACCATACAAGTACCTTTGAGATTAATTTCAGTGGGGAAATCAGTAGTATCGACCTGAGAATAGGACATACTCGATCCATGTATAGATTTGTCCAAGTATATATTTAGTTTAACACAACTGAAAATATTCCTTCTCTTTTCACTAATTGGTGAAATATATTAAGATTTTATACTTAAAACAGAAACTCAAGTGATTTTTAATAATTGATTGGAAATAACAGAGTCTCCAAGAAAGCATATAAAAAATAAATATGCCTATATTCTGGGCATATGCATATTTAAGAATAGAAGGATAGGTAGCAGGGAACATTAATTGAATACCTGATTGATTCCAGAAGAAATGCTAACCTTCACAACTATCATCCTCACAGCATTGATCACATTTCATTCTTGTGACAACTTTGTGAGTAGGGAATGTCATTTCCATGTTACAGTTGGTGAAAGTGAGGTCAGTGTTGGTATGAGTCATAGATGACACCAAAATAGCATTTAAATTTATTGATTGCAACCTTACACGCTATATTTCTCCCCAGACCACAGCTCAGTAACTCAGCTATTCAATCTCATTTCTTCTTTGTGTTTTTGTATTCTCACTAATAGAGTCGAATGGCTGTGAAAATGAGAATATAGTGAAATATACCGAAGAAAAAAGAGCTACCTGTCTTTTACTCTTAGGCTAGCAGTTTGAGAAAACTAAATCAGTCTTTGACTTCCTGTTTCAGTCGGACTGCTCATCCCAGTTTACTGCTCTCTGAAGGTCCAAGTCTCCTCTTCAGTCTCCACATGGCTGACTTCATCTCCTGGTTCCTCAGGGCGTAGATCCTGGGGTTCAACCTAGGGGTGATGACTATATTATTGATGGATATGACCGTGTCCATAGGCAGCATAGTGAAGGGCTGGCAGTAGATGTAAATGCAAGGCATGAAGTGAAGAGTCACCACTAGGATGTAGGAGGTGCAGGTAGAGAGGGCCTTGTTTTGCCCCTCGCTAGAGTGGGACCTCAGCATCACCAGAATGACGATATAGGAGCCCAGGAGCAGGAGGAACCACAGAAGGGTCCCCAGTCCGTTATTAGAGATCATGAGAAGCTCCAATGCAAACATGTCAGTGCAGATCAGTTTTACCACCTTTGGCATGTCACAGTAGAAGGCATCCAGAGTGTTGGGACCACAGAAAGGGAGTGGAAGCATCAGAATTACTTGGACAATTGAATGCAAACTACCACCCACCCAGGAAGCCACCAGCAAGGCCACCCACACCTCTTTCTTCATAATGATCACATGGTGCAGAGGTCTGGAAATTGCAAGGTATCTGTCATAGGCCATCACAGAGAGGAAAAAAAATATCTGCCCCACCAGCAAAATGGAGGAAAAAGATCTGTACCCTGCAACCATTGTAGGAGTTGGTTTTCCTGTCTGATAAAAGATCCACCAGGAATTTGGAGACAGTGATAGATGAAAAAATGATGTTCAGAACTGATTTGTTTCTCAGGAGAAAGTACATGGGAGTACTTTAGGCGAGACTCACAGGTGATAGTGACCACAATAAGGGCATTTCCCAGGATAGTTGTTACATACATAACAAGGAAGATCACAAACAAGAAAAACTCTAGCTCCCAGCAGTGAGTGAGTTCCAGGAAGACAAACTCCTTCACATTGGTGTGGTTGATCTGGTCCATGATGAGGATGACCCTCTTCCAGGTATACGAAAAGATATGTTAGGGTTAGGATTAGGGTGTCATGAAGAGGCAACATCATTAATCATATATTGCTCTCTCAAATATCAGGATCACCATGACTAATTTGAAAACCTGCGCTAGTCTTCTTTTCGTGGTCTGGAAATTGTTTCTCTGGATGGCTCTTCTTTCCTATTGTAAATACCCTGGGTTGACAGGAAAAACCATCATACTCTCATGTCTTTACTCTGATTAGAGAGAGTTAGGTCGACGGTGGTTGTTTGCCTACAGTTTATCTTCTGCCCTATAAGAATAACTTCTTCCCATGTGTGTTATGCTTTATATTTTAACAAGGGCTTTCACAGGTAACATCTCATTTTGATTTTTATTCTCAAGGAGTCTATAGGGTTTTCACAATCGTATGATTATTTCCATTTTATATGTGAAGAAACTAAAACTTAGAGCGGTTAATAATTTGCCTATATCTGCATAGTTGCAAAGTTAGTGGATGGCAGATCAAAGATGAAGGTGAACCAATATTGAAAATGTCCACTATTGACGTGGATGTGGGTAAACAGACACCTTCACATATGGTTGATAGGAGTGTATGCAGGAACAAAATTTCTGGGGTCATTCTGGAAATATGTGCCAAAATGTAAAATGTACAAACTGTGTAACTCATAAATTCTATTTTTATTTATGCTAAAAAGTTAATAAGCCAAATGCTTAATGTCATAAGTGCAAGGAAAGTTTATCATAGTACAGTTTAAAATAAGAATTTGTTAGTCTGATATAAAAAATTGGTTCAATAAGTATGCTACAATAGTACAATTAGTATTTGCAGCCATTCAAATTGATAATATAGAATTATAGTGACAGATTTTAGTGACAGATTAAAGCACTAAATACATTATATAATGTTAGTTTGGGGGAAAAAAATCTACATGTCTTGAAGTCTGGAATGACGCATATCTCACAAGTAGCAGCCATTATCTATGGATAATTGTATTTGGGCATCTTATTTTAAAAAGGCATTCTAAGCCGGGCTCGGTGGCTCAACCTGTAATCCCGCGCTTTTGGGAGGCTGAGGTGAGTGGATTGCCTGAGCCCATGAGTTCGAGACCCACCTGGGCAACTTGGTGAGACCTCATCTCTACAATAAATCAAAAAAATTAGCCGGATGTGGTAGCACGCACCTGTAGTTCCAGCTACTTGGAAGGCTGAGGCGGAAGGATCGCTGGAGCCCAGCAGGTGAGGCTGTGGTGGCCGGCAGCGGCCACTACACTCCAGTCTGGGCAACAGAGTGAGACTCCAACTCAAAAAAAAAAAAAAGCATTCTATAATGCCCCATTTTCAAAAGTGGTTTTAAATGGCGTTTGATTTTGAAAATTTAAAACCTCATACATCTATTTACAATTTGATGTAAAAAGTTTTTCCCTTAATGAGAGTTAAAGGGAAAACCTTTTCTCTGAGTTTTTTTCTTGTATCTTTCTTTTCTATAAAATTGTTTTAAGAAAGCTGACTTATTAAGGAAAAAGGTGTGTGGGGAAGACAGTTCTAATTTTTCTTTTGATATGTTATGCCTCCATGAGGCTTTGCTTAGAGGCATACATCCAGTAGAGGGACCAGCAATTCAGGTCTCTAGGAACTGAGTTCACAGCTACCTATGGTTGACTTCTCTTTCATTATTCCACCTGCTCTTCTGTCCAATCACCTTAGAAGGTTCTGGGTTCAGAAGTTACCTATTGGGTACAATGTTCACTACCTGGGGAATGGGCTACCTGAAGCTCAATCCCCATCAGTATGCAATACATTCATGTAATACACATGCAAACATGCGGTTTTACTTTTTGAAACTAAACTTTAAAAAAGAGAAATGAAATTGAGGAAAAAAAAGAAACAAAGTTCTAGACTATCAGTCTCAATGTTAGATAAGGATAAAAATAGTGGCTTTAAAATTTTTTTTTAACCTCAGGGTTGTATTCTTGAACCTATAGATAACTTATTCAAACGAGCACAGTCCTTGAAGTTGTGTTCAAGTATTTTACATTTTGACTGTGTGACTCCAAGCAACTTAACCTCTATAAACCTCAGAATCTTCTTCCATGAAATGGGAATCCTACAGCTTACTTTACAATGGGATTTATTTGTGATAATCCAGCACTTTAGGACCTGTCATTATGTGTCTATTTGTGTCTATCCCTTTCTCCAAATGTAAACTCCCGGAAGGCAGGGCTTTCATTTGTCACTATTCTATCCCCGGGTCCTTCCTGGCATTTATTAGTTATGCATTAATTATTTTTGACCAGATGAATGAATGAATGGATGGATGTTCAGCTCCTGATGGGCAGTATTTTTCTTTTACTCTACCATCAGCCTCATTCTACAGCCCCTATTCACTTATGTTGCTATATAAGTCAATTAAGTGACTTAATGCATATGATCACATTGTTCCCTTAAAAGCATTACACAAATGTAGGGTATTAATAGCATCATATGCTAATATAATTGTACAATTGTGTTTCTCTCCCTGCTCCCAACTAAGAGACGTTTGGTCTCTTTTCCAGAAAAGGACCACGCCAGTTATTATCAGTAATTTTTTTTGTTTTGTTTTTTGTTTTGTTTTTTATTTTGAGTTGGAGTCTCACTCTGTCACTCAGACTGGAGTAGAGTGGCCACTCCCGGCCACCGCAGCCTCCACCTGCTGGGCTCTGGCGATCCTTCCGCCTCAGCCTTCCAAGTAGCCAGAATTACAGGTGTGTGCTACCGTGCCCAGATAATTTTTTGATTTATTGTAGATATGAGTTCTCACCAAGTTGCCCAGGCGGGTCTCAAACCCGTGGGCTCAGGCAATCCACTCACCTCAGCCTCCCAAAGGCGTGGGATTACAGGCTGAGCCACCAAGCCCAGCTATCAGTATTTTTTTTATGCATTGTAGGTGCTCAGTATATGTTTTTATGAAATGAATTTTAATTTAAACATTGCCTCATTTGAATGTGTTTTAAGAAGCCCAATACTTTATGTTGGAGGCAGGAAATCTTAATCAGCCTAAAGTTTTTGGTTCAAAATGACATATACTTCAAGAATTGCTAAAGGATATTTTGCCTTTCAGAGACACTATTAAAATAATAAAGTTCTATGTGTGCTAAACTAAAGTTGCCTGCAGGCAATTTTGTTTTTAGGATGCCCTCACCTACCTTTGTGTTAGAAAGGTGAACCTGACAGCTTCCCCATCTTCACTGCTCTGCCCTTCTTTGCCCAAACACATGCACTGTCCACACTGTTTATACAAACACTGAATTAGAAGTCCAATAAAATAAGCTTAGGGAATAGTGTTGGATATTTGTAGGAAAAGTAATTTTCTTTTTTGTTTTTTGAGTTGGAGTCTCACTCTGTTGCCCAGACTGGAGGGAGCGGCCACTGCAGCCTCGACCTGCTGAGGCTCCGGCGATCCTTCTGCCTTAGCCTTCCAAGTAGCTGGAACTACAGGTGCATGCTACCACACCTGGCTAATTTTTTTGATTTATTGTAGAGATGAGGTCTCGCCAAGTTGCCCAGGCAGGTCTTGAACCCGCGGGCTCAGGCAATCCACTCACCTTGGCATCCCAAGGCACAGGATTATAGGCTGAGCGGAAAAGTAATTTTCAGTGGAGATGCTGGCAGCTGCAGATGCAAAGGGAGTTATTAAAAAGTTACTAAGCAACATGTATACATTGTTTTTTTGCAAACACACACATCTATTGTTGTTGGGAGCCGGCCATGGAGGCCCACTGAGCGTTAGGGATCAGGAAGGGCCGTTGACCCTGAGACCACTAGGATGCGTTCGGGAGCTATTGACCCCATTTCCTCCCCCTTTCTACTTAGCACTAACCAGACTAAGCTCCTGTGAGCTCAAAACATAAAAACTCTGAGACCGGGATGAACACAAACTAACTTTAGAAGCTCATCGCTCCCATTCTTCTGCAAATTGCAATTTTGGCTTTCACACAACTTATAATTCAAACTCGTGTCACATCTAAGAGCCTTAGTATTGGTCACAGGCTTCTGGGTCATGATTTTAGGATTTATTGAAGGTGTAAATTGTAGAATATAGTTTTAGAAGACAGCCATTTTGTTGAAAGAATGAGGCTGGCTTACTTGCAGGTAGCACTGTGAACTTTGGACTGGGCCACATTCTAAATATTCTGGGATGGGCCACTTTCATTTGTAAAGTAAATACTTAAGCTTCTATAGAATTGTTTAACTTGGCATAAATCAATCAGTTTAGGATGAAAAAGGTTTATAGAATATGTCAGTCACAGATTAGGTTATCCTTTGTTATGGGATTTTAAGATTATATGAGAAGGGTTTAAAGGCACAAACAAATAGAAAAATATTCCATGCTCATGGATTGGAAGAATCAACATTGTTAAGCTGTCCATCCTACGTAAGGCAATCTACAGATTCAACACAATACCCATTAAATTACCATCATTGTTCTTCTCAGACCTGGAAATGACAATATAGAAATTCATATGGAAACAAAAACAACCACAAATAGCCAAAACAATCCTCAGCAAAAGAAACAAAGTGGGAGGTATCACACTCCCAGACTTTAAACTTTATTATAAGGCTACAGTAATCAAAACTGCCTGGTATTGGTACAAGAACAGGCATATAGACCATGGAACAGGACAGAGAATCTGGAAACAAAACCTCAGTTTCTCAACCAACTCACCTTTGACATAGCCCCACCAACACCTACTGGGGAGAGGAGAACCTGTTCAGTAAATGGTGCTGGGAAAACCGGCTGACCACATGCAGAAGAACCCCTACCTATCACCATACACAAAAATCAACTCTAAATGGATCAAAGACCTAAATATAAAACCTCAAACTAGAAAACATAGTTTTCGAAAACATAGTTATCTCCTCATTTCAATCATGCAAGCCTACCTGCATTCATTGAGGCTACCTAAGTGCATCATTAAAGATGCAAAGCTCAGTGGCTAGGCCTGTAATGC